GTTTGAAGGGAAGGCACTCCAGGAAAGAACACTTTTTTTCATGCACTGGTCCGTTTTGAGATTTTAGGCTATTTTGTATCCATAACCTGTTATTCTCTATTTGAAACTATGGATTTCAATTACAATACATATCTGTAAAGACCATTTTCTCCAAAGACCATCTGTAGAAAATGCATATATCAAATATTTCAGTTTTATTCCCATCTATATTTTGAAGGTTTTTACAGAGGGATTTGTTCAGGTGTCATTCACCTGATTTTTGTAACATTTAATCCCTAAAAACAGTGATTTCTTCTGTCTGTTGACCGTGTTTTCTGATTTACTGTATGGAGTGATAAAAAGAAATATCCATAGAAATAGCCAAAAGAAACCCCCTCTATAAAAACCTTTTACTCTAATATGTCAACAAAATGAAACCTGGCTTTGTCCAATGTTCGGATTTTTGTTCTAATAATGTATGCAAATTAGTGCATATATAATTTTATAATACCGTATTTGCATATATTGTATGCAAATGTATTGCATATTTGTTATGCACATTTTTTAAACTGGATATTGTATATTGAATTGTGCAATTTCATTTTTTCCCTGCTATTTTTACTTTTAGATTACTTTTTCCATCAATTAATCTTAAAAAACAAATCTTTTAAAACACTACTAATTTAATAACATCGTTAAATATAATCTTTTATACTGTAAATTATAATGTAGTGATGCTTACATTCACTTAAAATGATTGATCTTAATTTTTTTGTATTTTAATAAAAATGTTTAGTCAAATATTATTGGTTATTTATTAGTCATCAGGCAGAATGTTTATATTAGTGCATCCCTAATAATTATGGTATTCTCAATTAACCAAACATGCAGAGGTCTACTGCTGTTGATTATATTATTTCCTTCTTCCTATTTACAACTGTTTTGCAGCAACTGAGCATGTCAACCAGTCACAGACACGGATTTAGTCCAATCTAGATAGACTTTTAAGCAGTTTGATCTACAGATGAGATGTGTGAAGAAACAATCTGAAGAGTTAAGTGTTATAACCAAGAAGCATTAAAACTAAACTGAAATGTGAATAGTATGAAATTATTTTGGATCTGCTGTACAGTAAGTTGTCATGCCCACTTTGTAAAGTAAATAGTGTTTGCCAAATACACCGTCCTAAAGCAACATAACAAAACTAGAACTCACCCATTACAATCAACACAGTGTAGACCAGTGTAAGTATTTGTGAGAGTCCAGAACAGTGTGTGAGCACTGCACTGCAGGGCTCAAACAGTATAAATCGTGTGACAGCTTTGTTGATTGTAATGAAATGGGAGTGTTCATCATATTCTGTGTTCAATTTATGAAATACTTGACTTAACAGTGTAGTTTTTCTTGCTGCTAAGTGGGTCAGTGTAAGGGTGACCACTGTCTTTTTCAGTGATTGCACAAATGCTGTTTGTGTGTGTGTGTGTTGTTTTTGTGACCTCTGCTAGTGGTTTAGTCCTCCTACATGCAGCTCTGACCCAGTCTGACCACATCCCCATGGAGAGGACTGTGGAAACTGTCTGCGTTTACAGAAGTCATTATGAGCACAACATTTCTCTCTCGCTGACACACACAAACACACAAGCGATCCTTCACTGAAATCTTGCATATGTCAACTATATATATATAGCTGATGATAATATGCAAAATTATAAATATGTACTGAACGTAATAGACCAAATTTTAACCAAATGTCCAAACATTTAAAAAAAGGTCATGTTAATTTGTATAGTTCTTTTCACAATACATATATGCTATTGTTTCAAAGATTTTCTTTTTAAAGAAATTAATACTTTTATTCAGCAAGGACACAATTAATTGATAAAGAAGTGTCAGCAAAGATATTTACAATGTTATAAAAGATATTTCAAATAAAATTCTGTCCTTTTGAACTTTCATCAAAGAATCCTGAAAATGTATCAAAATTATCACAAAAATATTAAGTAGCACAACTGTTAAATGCTTCTTGAGCAAATCAGCATATTATATACAGTATATATATTTTTTTATTTTTTTTTTTTTATTTTTTTTTTTTTTTTTTTTTTTTTTTTTGAAGGATCATGTGATACTGAAGATTGTTTTAATATAGAATATACAAATGAATATAGAAAATGATTTCACAATATTATTGTTTTTACTGTATTTTGATCAAATAAATGCACCCTCAGTGAGCATAAGTCTTCTTTCAAAAATCTTACAAACCCCAAACTTTTGTATAGCAGTGTGTTTCATTGTCAATAGCGTCATTCTAATAGTGTCATTATCATCAATTGTATGTAAATTTGCTAAAACAGATGTTGTTGTTGGATTTTCCAAAATTAGCAAGGTGCAATGCATTAAAAATCTTCAGACGTGTTATTTAAGAAACTTAACTTGCTAAAGTAAATTAGATTTGTACATCTGTATATTTCTCTCCAGTTTATGTGTGATTTAAGAATAACCCAACTTCACCTTGATAATTAACTTGAAATAGTTTTTGGTTTTATCTCTGTGACACTTCTTCTTCATAGCCTTTATTCTTCTGCTGTGTCTCTCCCCTCGGCTCTCTCTCTCTCTCGTTGGCCTTTATTATGCTTCTGCTGAATGCTCTTTATCAGAGCTGCTCTATAAAGGTAGATTGCCAGGCAACAGAAGGTCAACCTCCTGTTTAAATGGTCACCGTGGCTGCAGTCTGAGAACTGAATAAACAAATCCGTGTGAAATATGCTCATTATAGCTCGTAAGGACAGTCAGTGGACCTTCACACCTCCTTATAAGGGGCTTCTGTTATTGCCGCTGATGAATTCTTTCAGTTTAGATACACTCACAGGATTTAAAAGAGTTTTTTTAAGCACTTAGACCTGAATTCTTCACCACAAGAAGTTGTACAGTTGTCTAGTTGTCTTTTTGCAGTTATGTTTTCTAGGTGAATGAACAATTTATAATATATATATAAAAAAATATATATAATGCAAATTATGATATAACAATTATTTGCATGCAAACTACACCTATGTAAAACTTTATTTATTTATTATAATTGGATGCATGCCACAAATGCTGTCCATATAGGTATAACATTGTAAATAATTTGGAATATTTTAGTAAAAAATTATTATGTTCTGAATGAATAATTCTAGTTAAGACAGTTCATGATATAATTGGTTGGGTATTTTGAATCTGCTTGTGTCTGGTCACTAGTTTGTATGCACTCCTTAGACTGCTGTCCAAAGTGTCATGTGATAGTGTCAAAGTGTCAAGACTGTTTTATTGATCGCCTGAATGCTTGCCCAGCATCAGTACAGGCCCGGTACTAAGCAGAGAATTACTGTACCGATCAGAGACATTGGGACATAATCAGAGATGAGGCCAATTAGCTAAAAAGAAACACTTAAAAGTAATCTAAAACTGATGTGAAATATTCATTACAATTGAGCTAAAACTGGTTCAACTTATAAGTTTTAGTTTAAGGAATATCAATGCAGTGATGCTTTTAATACACTGAAATAACACTGGTCCTATTTTTTTTTGTATTTTGAGTGTTTATTTAACTTTGGGAAATTTTGATGCCAAATTTAAAAAAGACTTAATTTTTGCTTGATTGACTCCTTTGTTTTGCTAAAGCTAATTTTAATTCATTATATCTTAGAAAAATTACAGCCAGATTGGACATGCCTCACAATAAAAAAAATATTCTGTTCACAAACCAAGTACGCCAACTTGGCAAAATTTGTTGGATGTGTCATAATTTGTGTAAGAATTGATAAATAAATATGGTAATGGTTTATTTGATTTTTGCATCATAGTTTTAAAAATGTTATATTAATAGTTTTTATAATAGATTTTCGTATTTAAGGGTTCAGAGTCTGGGGAAACAATTAAAACCACACAGAAAGCACCTGAAAAGCATTGTAATGTGACTTCATTTAACAAAAAAACAGACAGCAATACAGACAGATAGTTTATGGAAACAGGTATAATCTATAGATTTGATAGGGTGGGTGTGTGTGAGAGAGAAAGAGCAGTGTTGCCAAATGCCTTCCATAAAAAGTAGCTAAAGCCTGCTTGAAAAGTCACTAAATGTCGCTAGATGACGTTATGAACTAACATTACGTCATCACGTCATATCGGCCCTTCATTCATTTCCATTTTATACAGCCTATTCCTATTTTAATGCAGCCAAATTCCCAAATAAATTTGTTCTGTTTTTCTGTTTCTGTTTCAGACAACGCTATCTATTAAGACTATATGCAGTTATTTCCAATCTGCTGCTCTGAACTGCTAAAATCAGGATTTAAAAACAAGACGTTGTCAGACAAATTCACCATACACTCTTAAAAATAGAGGTGCTTCACGATGCCATAGAAGAACCTTTTTGTCTAAATGGTTCCATAAAGAACCTTCAACATCAGGAGAACCCTTCTGTTTCACAAAAGGTTATTCGTGGCGAAAGAAGGTTCTTCAGATTATAAAAAAGGTAAGAAAGAGATGGTTCTTTAAAGAACCTTTGACTGAATGGTTCTTTGTGGAACCAAAAATGGTTCTTCTATGGCATCGCTTGATGGCCTCAGCAACAATGTGAAAGTCACTGAATTTGGTGACAAAATCCCCAGATTGGCAACACTGAAAGAGAGAGGTCATGGGTAATGGTCATCTTTCCCATCAGCTGCTGATCCCACAGTCTGAGTCATGAATGAACTAGCACACTTTTCTCTCTCTCTCTTTCTTTCAGTCCGTCTCTCCTACCACAACACCATAATGCTGAATCAACTTACAATCAGCAAGGCTGCAAGTCACGGCAACGAGGCTTTAGAGTCTAAATCTGATGTATGGAAACAGTGACCTCTGTAATCCCTAGCTCAGGGGTAGGCAAGTTCAGTCCTAGAGAGCCCAGTCCTGCAGAGTTCAGCTCCAACCCTGAAAACAAAACTCACCTGCCTATAGCCTTAGTAATCCTGAAGACATTGATTAGCTTCTTCAGGTGTGTTTGATTAGGGTTGGAGCTGAACTCTGCAGTACTGCGGCTCTCTAGGACCGAACATGCCTACCCCTGCCCTAGCTGAATCTGAATCAGTCTAGCTTTAAATACCCAATGGTTGGAATCAACAAGTTTCGACAAGTGCTTTTGACTCCTTCCTGAGACATTTATCCAAGTACAAGTGAAAGCTTTCCTTTCTTCTTTTCATTTCTTTGCAAATGAGCACCTCCCAATGTGGCTTAAGTAGCAAAGTCTTCAGCACATGCAGTTTTGGTTACATTGCAAATGATAGTATCTGGATACATTCTTTTCTACTGACTTTCATAAGTGAAGCCAGGTTGTGACCAGTGGGACTTGCAGGTCACCCAGAGAAAGACTGATGGAAGAAATAAACCAAAGGCTAGACTGATAGGTTGAATGTTGCTTTGGTTGCGGTGGAGTGCAAATGCTTTTAAAGAGAGCTGGCAGGTGTTTTGATTTTTGTCGTGTTTTGTAGCTTTTAGAGTCAGCTTTGAGAGCTTTTCCACTTGCGCGAACCAGACGATATGACACACTCTCCAGAGATTTGTAGTTTTGCTTTTCTGTCTGTTACGCACAGGTTGTTGAGACAGTCTGGGTCTATTTTGGTAAAATTATGAATAGTGCAGCTATGTTAGTGCCCTGGTTATGAGCGCTGTAAGATAAACAAGTGTTTATTTTAGGGGTCAAACACGTGCAGTGGGATTAAAAGTGATAAACAGCAATCCAGAGAACTGGTGCACTGCTAAAAGTTGTATTTATTGAAGGCAAGTGTATATACATATTGTCTTTCTGCTTTAAATGCACAAAAATAATAATGCATCTATCTTAAATATATTATTCTCTCTGATTCAGTTTAGTGAATCTCTTGTTCATTTCAGTGACTGCCTGATTCACCAATTAATTTGAGTAATTAATTCAACTCAGTATTGTTTCTAGACGTCCTTCCTTTTGTGGTATTTTACATGATCATGTTTGTATTGTATTGTGACATTTTTCCCAGTCATCTCAATGGAAAAATAAATAAATAAACACCTAAATAAATAAATATTTAGTTAGAGAATGAATGAATGAATGAATGAATGTCGAAAATGACAAAATCTACAGCATCATGATTTTCAGTGTAAAAATGATTTTTAGTTAGTTCATTTGTTGGCACCCTAATTGCACTGATTTTATAAGTAAATATACAATCTGATTTTATATATTAAAAAATATATCGTCCTCTTAAATAAGTTATCATCATTTAATGTAGGTAAACTACAGCCATGATTCTTGTAAAATACGTTATTAGTTGAAAACTTTGAAATGCTCTTTCTTAAAATGTATCTAAACTTCTGTCTTCAAGTCTTTGTTGATATTTTGTGTGGGTTTTCTGTTCATTGGTGACTAATTGGCAAGTCTTACCCAACACCCTCTTTCTCTCTTACACACCCTCAACAGAAACAAACATAACATTCACATACACCGACACAGCACCCTTTCTCACACCAGAAAGCTGTCAGATAGGCCGATCCCTGACAGCTTCTCGGGTGCACAGCATGAAACCTGTGAACGTGAAGGCTAAACTTGACTATTAAGAGCAAACAGGTCTTCTTGGAGAATGTTTGAGAAATTTCAGAGATGACGATTCAGCCTGTAATCACTTTGGATGATGGCAATTATGCTCTCAGACAGCATTGCTGTTCTTGAGCATGCCAGGGTGATGATTGCGAGCTGATAACTTTATTAGCATGAAAGAGAGTTGTGACATTGTGAAATTATTTAATTCACAATTAAATCATTAATTTATAGTTATATTTTTATCAGCCATTACTCAAGTCTTCAGTGTCACATGATTCTTCAGAAATCATTCTAATATGCTGCATTATCAATGTTGGAAAAAAAAAAGAAATATAAATATTTTGTAACAATTTACACTACCATTCAAAAGTTTGGGGTCTTTTTATTATTGAAAGAAATTAATACTTTCATTCAGCAAAGATATGTTAAATTGATAAAAAGGAATAGTAAAGACTTACATTGTTGCAAAAAGATTTCTATTTTGAATAAATGCTGTTATTTTAACTTTTTATTCATCAAAGCATCCAAAGTATCACAGGTTTCAAAAAAAAATATTAAGCAGCACAAATGTTTCCAACATTGATAATAAATCAGCATATCAGAATGATTTCTGAAGATTCATATGACACTGAAGGCTGGAGTAAGAGAAAGTTTTGCCATCACAGGAATAAATTATATTTTAATGTATAATAATGTTGTTATTTTAAATTGTAATAATATTTAGCAATTTTACTGTATTTTTGCTGTATTAAATGCAGCCTTGATTAGCATAAGCGACTTCTTTAAAATACATTAAAATAATTTTTATTTTAGCTATTATTTTTTGATTTGCAGTAGGCTACTAAGAATTGGTGGAGGGCATTGTTTAAATTTGGTAAGTTTATGGTTAATATATATTATAGTATATACTAAGCATCATGGTCTTAATGTTAAATATAATTTCTTGTTTCTTACTTTTGATTTCAGGGTGAAATATGACCCGGTCATTTCCTGACTGTTAATAACTGCGTCCCAAAATATTCACATTGCAGGGTTGTTTCATTATGTTCCCAGCCCCATTTTTGTGGAAGCCTCCGGCCGGGAGACTAGCAGTTCTGTCTGGGGTTTAAGAGTGAACACTCTCCACAGACTTCTAGTATCAGGACAAAACTCTTATCATCACTGACTTGGCCTGTGGAATGCATGACAAAGTATATGCATGTGTGGAAACATCGCTCATAACCACAAAACAAAAAAAGAACACAGAATCTGTCTGCATAGTCAGCAAGGGATTTTACCACCACACACAGAGCGTTATTGAATGAGTCTATGAATGATATGCACATTATAGTATGTAACTGGCGCTGAATTTAAAGGACGAATGTTTTAAGTTTCACACAAACTTTTTATAATATGTTTCATCAGCTCTAACTGAAACCCATACAAACACATAGTTATAAAGACATATATCTTACAAAGTAGTGGCAATGTTCTTGGGCTTTGCTGTTACCTGTTTGCAAAACTTTCATGGCTTTAAAGGGCTCAAAACATCCCTTTAATACTTAAATTTTTTTTTAATTCCCGCAATTACCTTCCAAGTGCACTGCTTTTCTAAGAAAACACGCTTTTAACTTAAAGATGAAAGTTTATTAAACATGTTTGAGATATACTTTGTCATTTGGAGTATACCCTGTCAATTTCATGATGTTCAATATTTACAGAATTACATATTTGAAATTGCACTAAACTTACTTTATTCAAATTAAAAAAACAAAAACAATTTCCCTCAAAAGTGTGGCACAGGTTTGCGTGAATGTTGTCATGTTTAATGAAAAAAACAATCACAGATATGCAGAATGCCTTTCTTTTATAAATAATGAACTTAAAGCAAAGCAATGCAAGATGTTTAGAGATACCAAATATTTCATATAATAGCTTCTTTAGCAATCTGTTCATAGCAACATAAAACTTTTTTATTTCCTATTATATGTTAACATTTAAGAGTCAGTATTAAAACATTGCTATAGTTCTTACACAGAAGCAGAGGTCTAATGAGTCTGAATATTTTTTATGTTTATGCATTTTTTGTTTGTTTTTGTTGTTGTTGCTGTGTCTGATTTCACATGGATTGCTACATTTGATTTCCTTCATATATCTCTGATGTTGGTTCTATAAGGTTTTTATATGAACGTTCATGAATCTTCATACATTCTTAAACATTTGCAAGCCAGCCCTTTAGCCTCAGATAACACCTATACACACCTAGAATTATGGGGGGTTTAAACCTTCTTAGACTTGATGGCCCCACAAATTAGAGACAGAACAAAAAGTTTGGGGTTTTAACTTGTGGTTGCCTTTACCTGAGCCGTTTCCATTAGGTCCAATTTTGGGTTGTACTTTGACAACCTCAGAGACAAAGTGTCATTATAGCACATATCAAATGCATAATAAAGTTTATAAACTTTGGGCTAACATGCTCAGCAAAAAAAAAATTTAAAATTGCATGATGAACTCAAATAATATTTCATCCAAAAATCCTGCCATTATTTAATCACCTTCACCCTCAGGATATTGTTTAAAAGTTCACCCTTTGTTTTCTGCAGAATAAAGTAAGTCATACCAGTTTGGAATGAAATGAGGGTGAGTAAATGATGATATAATTTAGATTTTTGGGTGATTTGTTTCTTTAATATTGCACTCTAAAATTGATCTATAACGATTCCTTTATTTTAAAAAAAAATGATGAAGGTCAATGTGTAATTCGCACCCTGAAGGGAGTTATGCAAATACAAAACCAATGTTTTTATGCCAGTGTGGTACATTTCTGTGTATGACTGTAAAATGGATTGTGATTACATTTGATTTGCTGTGTTTTATTTGTTCGTTCACGGTTTAATTGGTACAGATAAACATGTACGGCTCAGCAAAAAAATCAGATATACACAGCGGCAGCGCTTATAAAAGTTGGTTAAAACGCTAATAAAGTGATTCTCTGCTCGATTCTCTGCTCTTTCTCTTTCTGAGAAAAATCTAAAGAAGGGGTTTCAAAAATGAATTGAGTTAAAAAAAAGAATAATAATGGAAATGGTAAAAATGATAACATACCTCTCTCAGGGCCTTGTTGGGTCTAAAAATATATTTTTCTAGAAAATCAGTCTTCTTTTAATCTCAGTCCCTATCCTTCATGAAGATTAATTATGTTGACCTGCTCCCCTTCATGCAGTTCCAAACCCATATGACAGCAACATGATCGAGTAAGCAGGCTGAACTTCAATTTGTGAACAGTTCATTGAGTATGATTCATAAACCAAATCAATTTGCAAGAACCAACTCGAAAAAATGATTTGTTCACTGATCCTGTCCTGACTCACTGACTCTGTGATCTGGTATGTGCTGGTTGGAGATAACATCTCAGATTATCAGTGAAGAACTTAATTTTTTTGGTCTGCTCCTCACGCTGAATTATCTTATGGCTTCAGAATATTTGGAATATTGCTCACAAGTTATATGGACGACTTTAATGGTGCTTTTTTGATGTTTTTACTTTGTCTACAGGTTTGGAACAACATGATGGTGAGTAAATAATGACAACATTTTCAAATTTGGGTGATTTTTTTTTTTCCAAAGCCACAGTCACAAAAGTCATAAGGTTAATTTCCCTAAACCACCTGCTCCTCTCTGTTCACCACACAGATACTTAAAGGGGTCATGTGATGCGATTTAAATTTTAAATTTTTCTTTGGAGTGTTACAAGCTCTTGGTACACAAATGTTCACGCAAATAAAGAAGGCATAACTTTGATTCTCATTGTAGTATTGTTGCCACCGCTGCCATGTTGTGGAGACGCTGTGTGTTTCGTTGTGAAAGTGAAACTACTATGTTTGGTCTTCCAAAAGAGGACACAACTAGAAATCAGTGGTTAAGTTGTATTCACAACACTGTTCCAGAACAGTTCAACCCAAATATTCAGATGTGTGCAGCGCATTTTAATGGAGGCAAGGACTGTTTCCTGAGAGAGTAGCCTACAATGCCGGTGTCTGTTTCTATAAAGTGGGGCAATTCCAACTTTGCAAAGACAGTCTGGTGCTTCTGACTCACAGCCTGTAAATACGTTTTCATATTTAAAGAATTTGCCACTGATGATTCAAACGTGAGTTTTGAGCAGTGTAGAGTAGCGCTTGTAGTTTGTCATTTCCCCAATCACAAATGCAGACATGGTTTCATGTTTATGCAGCGCGATATGCAACGCAACGCATAAAAAGACAGTATAAGTTATTATAATCAGTAATTATGTCCCCGCTGGATGCAACAAATGCCTCGTTTATAATGGGTTTTACTGGTGTTGTCTCGTCGCTCCGGCCGGACAGGGCATCACAGTATGGTAGGGGAGTAGCATTTCCGTCACACGCTTGAGGTATTCGGCCAATCACAACGCACTGGATAGCTGGCCAATCAGAGCACACCTCGCTTTTCAGACCCATGAGCTTTGTAAAAATGTACGCGTTTCAGAAAGGCGGGGCATAGAGGAGCAACAATAATGTACATTATGTGGAAAATAATGTGTTTTTTTAACCTTAAACCACATAAACACATTTCATTACACCAAATACACAAAATAATGTTCTTTTTTAGCAACGTCATATGACCCCTTTAATCTACTCAAAATGGGTCCATTAACAAAGTGATTTTAACTAGTCAGCTGAATATTATAAGAAGTTTTTTATAGCCTTTCTCCGAAAATAAACAGTGTGTACTAGTGTGGTAAAAATACCAAAATGTCTCTTTTTAGATGCTTTTGAATAAGCTCGCATGTGGTTTGATATTGCAGATGGATTTCACTTATGTGTCTTTGAATGGAACTCATCGTAGTGACCGTACAAAGTCATGAATAGCTGCAAAGCTTTTACTTGTTATCTATCTGGAGAACCAGTCCAGAATAATATGCTTTTATGGAACCCAAGATCTCCTTTTTTTCTGTTAAATGTGGAAAATCCATGTAAGAGTCCTACTTTCCTTCCATTTTGAGTGTAGCGCTGAGAAGCGATCGAAGCATTTTTCTGCAGTTGAGGTCTGCACAGAAGTTGATGAGTCATAAATGTGAGCCCACAGAGTGTGGACACGGGATTATTTTTAGACTTTCATTAGAATCAGTATTTCAAATGGTACAGTATTTCATTTTTTAAGTGAAGCTTTGCAGACTGTATTCTCTCAACCAAATTCATAAAATTCTCATATACACTGAATCTCTTTAAATAATCCATTAGAGAGAGAGAGAGAGAGAGAAAAAAAAACAGCATTTAAATGTAAGTCTTTAGATCAAAAGCTTTACGATAGAAACACAAATTCCTGTGTTTTGGTAGTGTATGTCCTTAAAGGAACTTCCCTTGTACTCAATTTGGTCTTAATTTAAGGTTATTATATTTAAAACAGACATTTATGCTTTTAGGGTAAATGCTTATTTAGGATAAGAATGTGCCCTAAAAGACACCATTTGGAATTTTTACAATTCTAGAATTTTGGATTTGTTCCAAAACCTAGTAAGCTGCACACCTAGGCAAAATTTCTAGGCTTTACAGGTATTTCATTTATTATTACTTATAATAATAATAATAATAATGATTATTATTACTAATAATGATTTACACACACAGAGAGTAGTACAAGGTAGCTTATTAGTTTTGGAATAGAGCTAATATGCAGCCACTTCAATTTTTCCTTCAAGTCAGGTCAGGTTTCATTATATTTCTGTGAATATTTTATTAAATTTAATCTCCACAACAACGACAGCAAAGTGTTTGCCTTCTATGATTTAGTTTTTGAATTCCATTAATTTGAATTTCACTCTGGAGTCTTTCTGTCTCTCTGTCTCTTTCGGGCTGTTTAAAGGAATGCAGTTATTTGTCTCTCGTGTTCTCTCTTGAGTCGGTAGAGCTGACAGTCAGTCTGGCACACACACACACACACACACACACGGCTAACGCTAATATAGCAGCTACTGGAGCCAACATAACTGCCTAGCCAGCACACAGCCTTTAAATAGAGCTGAATGAGAGTCAGTAATGTAATCGAATGTGTTGGAGGATCTTCTGCTTTCTTAAACTGCCCGAAAGAAACTGATCCGGCACCCCCATTTTACTTCAGTTTCCTTCTGTTCTACAGGTGCTAAATTTAACACCTTAAAGGTTAGCGTATATTATGAATGATAAATGGGAAGTCGAATGTAAAAGAGTGATACAAAAAAACTAACTATCACAAAAAAGCCAAGGGAGATGAGGAGCCATTAGAATGAAAAAGTTGAAAAAATGGCAAGTGAGCTGGATGACTCTTTAGTGTAAGTAGGCCTACCAATAAAGTTGTTCATCATGGTTAAATTGTAGGCTACTTGCTTTAAAAGAATTTTGTGTTTATGTCAGTAGTAGGGGAGCGCGGGGCACAAAGTAACGCGGGGTAAGTTGTAACACACGTGGTTTAAATATTTCCTCACATGCTAGCATAACCAAATTTACAGCATTTACTAGTTACTATATCAACATTATATAGAGAAAAAAAGTGCGCCAAAATTCAAAAGTCTTTTGAAGATGTCGCTGAACATTTATTTTACCATAGTAAAATTATATTTCTGGCTTAGGTAAATTTTTCATTTCAGGTTTTATTGCTCATTTAAAATGAGACAAATCGGCTATTATTTTAATCTCCAGTCTGTTATTTATCAGTTTAAATAATTTTTAATGCTTCGCTAACTATTAGAAGACAGTAACCAGTTTTAAATTCCAGTTGCACAAATGGGGTATGTTGTAACACTGCATTACAATGTACCCTGCCGTGCTATTCTATGACATTAGCGATGTAATTCACACTATTTACTTTAATAAATTTTAATGATAAACGACGAGAAGCAGGTGAATAAAGACTGACAGTCAATGTTTAATGTTAAGAAATTATTATTTCAAGACATGTAAGCATTTTGGCTCATTTATGTGGGCCGTCCCAAGCATGGTTGCAATGTGTTCATTGTCAAACTCCAAAATCAGATTATTTTTCATTCTTAAAAAACGCCATTATTTTATTTGAAATAAATAATTATTTTATTTTATTGACAAAATATTTTAGTTTGTCTTGTATATTTTTTTCATTCGATCAGATAATATTTTAAGCTGTTATATGGTTATGTTACAACGTGCCCCTCAGATGTTACAATGTACCCCACCTACGGGGCATGTTGTCACATTTCACTTCCAATTTTTGAGGGTAAATAACGAAAAATGTAAACACTGTAATTATGAAACAAAGCAACATATTTGTACTAGACAAGTGTGAAATTACTGTGGATAAAAAAAATTATACTCTGAACCCCATGAGGATTTACACAATTTGAGAAAAAAAGTCAAAAAGTGTTACTTTGTGCCCCGCTCTCCCCTATGTCACAGGTCAAAGAAAATGCAGTTTGAAGGATAACTCCAACATGCGGATGTATGTCAGGGAATTGATTCTAGTTGTGAATACAGGATGTCTAAACATGGATGTTGATTTAAATTTTCAACAGAGTTTCTCAGAAATCGCTTACTGCACCTTTAATGTGTCCTTGATGAATAAAACTATTAATTTCTTTCAATTAAAAAAAAAAATCCTTCTGACCCCAAACTTTTGTACAGTAATGTACATGACTTTGAACACAACTAATGTCAACCTGTGAATGAATTTGACTATCATGTATCTGTTACTCTCTCACAATGGACAGGAGTTACTAAACCAGGTTAACAGTCACCGAACCGTCAGCTGAGAGACACAAACACACACTTTCACTCTCTTACTGTCTCTGTCTCAGTCTCTGCTTTCTCTCAGTTCCCATCTGTCTTTCTCAGGTTCTCTCTGAATCTTTTTCTGTCTGTCTCTCACTCTATTCTTGACTGTCTCACGCCCACGCTTCCTGTCTGTCTTTCTCAGATTCACTTGCACCCCATTCCAATCTGCCTCTATTTCTGTCTATCACATTTTGTCTTTCAAATGGTTTCTCATTAGTGTGTCCATTGCAACTGCATATTATAGTAGTGATGAGATTTTTATGTATCTTCACTTTTCAGACCACTCCTATACACATGAAAAGATGAGTAAGACAATTCTAGTGAATATAAACATGAACTCAAACTCCCTTGGAGATTCACCAGAACGCTGTTTCTCCGTCTCTATTCTGTTTTCTCAACATCGCCTTAAAGGGGTCATATGATGCGATTTCAATTTTTCCTTTCTCTTTGGAGTGTTACAAATCTTGGTGCGTAAAGAAGGTCTGTTAAGTTGCAAAGACTAAAGTCTCAAATCCAAAGAGATATTCTTTATAAAAGTTAAGAGTCAACCACGCCTACCTAAAACGGCTCTTTCTAACACGCCCCCACATATCTACGTCACGATGTGGGAAGATTTGCATAACGCCGCCCAAATGTTCATGCAAAGAAAGAAGACTGTGACGAGAGGGGCGGGGCCGAGAGCCGTGGGAACGGAGCGAGGCCGGTGGAGTAATTGCGAATGCGCGACACCTGCGCCACTCACCGGTCTCGAGTCTCACGGAGGAGCTCCGGAAGGATACAAAGGAGGAGTGATGACAGGGAAAGACGAGAGAGGACCAGGCCTGGAGTTTATTTTGGTTTTGTTTGTGCGCAACAGTCGTCCGCGAGGGGCTGTCGCGCTGTTTTGAGTTTATGTTATTATTAAAGTTTGTGTAAATGTTCGCCGGTTCCCGCCTCCTTCTTCCCGATCTACAAACTATGTTACAAAGACATAACTTTTATTCTCACTGTAGTATTGTTGTTGCCGCCATGTCGTGAAGGCGTTGTGTGCTTCGTTGTGAAAGCGAAACTACTTTGTTTGGCCTTTCAAAAGAGGACGATATTGCTTCGTCATGCCTGGAGATGATCCGTGCTGGTCGCTGAGGAAATGCAACAACTTTGCGCTGTGGATCACCGGATCGGCTTTCACCGTGGACGAAGCGGAGTCCAGCCCGGGGTCGTCACATGTGGTTGCCGCAGGCATCACAATATGGTAAGGGACGTAACATTTCTGTCACACGCTTGAGGAATTCGGCCAATCACAACGCACTGGATAACTGGCCAATCAGAGCACACTTCACTTTTTCAGACTGATGAGTTTTGTAAAAATCGATGCGTTTCAGAAAGGCGGGGCATAGAGGAGAAACAAGAATGTACAGTATGTGGAAAATAATGTGTTTTTTAAAACTTAAACCGCATAAACACATTTCATTACACTAAATACACAAAATAATGTTCTTTTTAGCAGTATCATATGACCCCTTTAATTCCAGTCAGATCCAGTGAGCTGAACTCTCCTGAGTCCAGAACCGCATTGAGACAGCTGGGCTGGAGATCATGACACGATCAAGAACTATCCACAGCATTACTAATGAGTATTTATGATTCAGAATCCATCCGGGGCTTTGGATCCTCCGTGATGAAGGAAGGAATGGAGAGAGAAACTGTGGTAGGCGTAACTCAGGGGAAAATCACATGCTTTATTTCTGTCTTCCAAATATTTGTGTGCAGTTTCTCTTTGATTTAGGATTTAGATGCCTACTGTCCAGTGTGCATTCTGTGTTACCACAGGCAGAACATTCAGCTCTTTAATATCAGCTGTTTCTTTGTGACAGGAATGTGAAGCAATAGAGGGCACTTGGGGACTTTTGCTTAGAGGGATGGTCCACCCCAAAATGAAAATTTTGTTATCATTTACTCACCCTCATTCTGTTCCAAACCAGAATGATTTTCTTTCTTCTTTGGAACACAAAAGAAGATATTATTATGAGTTTCAGTTCCCATTGACTGCCATTGTACAGTATGGTCAAAAAATATAATGTAATTCAATGGAAACCGAAACTCTTTGTTTACCCACATTCTTCAAAATATATTCTGCAAGTCATACAGGTTTGGAACAACATGAGAGTTAGTAAATAATGAGAGAGTTTTAATTTTTGGGTGAACTAATTCTTTGTTTTCTGCTTTTAAAAATGTTTATCATGACTATAAGACCCCAGTAATCTAATTTCAGAAGATATCTTAATCATGTCTCAGATTTGCCAAGCATCACTATATATATATATATATATATATATATATATATATATATATATATATATATATATATATATATAGA